AAATATATATCTTAATATTATTATTGAATATTTTTTTCTTAAGAAACTACAGAGGTGGTAGATACGTTTTTGGACTTCTCTCTATGGGAGGCTGACAATGCGTATTCTGATGCTAGCGCCGAAGTTGACGAGCTAAAAAAATATCTAGATCCGAAATTATGTGTTGATGACGATAATATTTTAAAATGGTGGAAAACAAACCATTATGAGTTTCCAAATTTAAGTATTTTAGCTCTTAAATTCCTGGCTATCCCTGCTTCGTCGGCTAGCAGTGAAAGGGCGTTTTCAGCTGCTGGTAGGGCCTTTGAGGAGAGAAGGACTCGTTTAAAGCCAGATAAACTGGACGCCTCTTTATTTATATATCATAATTATTCACTTTGTGATAATTTTGATAATGATATTGATGAGGTCAATATATAATATAATATGTTCATTATATTTTTTATATATTTATTAACTTTTACATCATATCTATATTCGCATAAATGATGCTTATTATATAATCGTTATAATTTTTAAATTCGCTTGTATATTAATCGTTTTATAATATTTTTTACAAATTTTAAAAATGCAAATATCTTGAATAGATTATGGCCGTCAAATAAACTTTTATTTAAGGTGGCTGAACTGAATAAATACACATAAATTTTTTTTTGGTTATTATAATATTAAAACTTAAATTGCAAAATTTTATTCGGGTCGGGCTCGGGTCGGGTCGGGTTGGATTAAAAAATGTGTGCTCGGGCTCGGGTCGGGCTCGGACAAAAAAATTTTTTTAATTCGGGCTCGGGTCGGGCTCGGGTTGCGAAAAAATTACTTTGCAGTTCTCTAGTTGTAACCACCAATGTATTGTAAATAATAGAATTTTGGGTATGCCATAAATCTTCAAGATGGTCTATAGCCATTTGTTTTTGCTCACTACTTAATAAAACCTGATATCGCGGGTCTAAATATATAGAAGCATATACAACACTATTTTGTAAATATCGTTGCTCTCTTATTTTCGTATTTTCTAATACTTCATTTGAAAAAGAACTTGTTAATCTCCCTAACTCTAATCGACATCTTAACCATATGCCATAAAAATCCGATGAACATAATTGTTCTGCTTGCACTCTTAAAAGGAACCAGCACACTAGTAAGCTCTTTTACTTGATTCCAATTATCACAAAATGATTTCACATGCTCCTATGATAAAATCATTACAGAAATCTTTCAAACTTAATAATCGCTCTAGCATCATACATATAGAGGACCAACGTGTTGTGCAATCTAAAATTGCCATTTACCTTTTCATGGATTTTAATATTCTAACAATTGTGGGAGTTCTTAAATATTTTACAACATACCTTGCTTTATCAATTATAGTTTTAAAGTGATTATTTTTTAGGGAGATTCCACGAAAAAAATTAATAAAATTAAAAAATTATATTTTTACATTAATTTTAAAAAAAAAATTTAAGTTAAAAATTTTTAGCACCCTGAACCCTTGGACCCTCCACTTTTTAAAAGGGTCCGGGTTCACATCCCTGATATTTAATATGTATTACTTTTATGCTTTAAATCATTAAATACTCGAAAAAATGGTCTTAATATAAATTAAATGTACAAAAATAAATGTGGCAATGAAAATATTCACGCCCATTCACGCTTACCACTAAAAAAATTTCGACCCGACCCGCCCGCTCACGAAAGGCAATATTTTGTTTCACGCCCAAAAATTCACGGTGTTTTTAAATTTCTCAAAACATGCTATAATTTTTTACACTTTTTTGAATTTATTCTATTTATTTCTTTAATTCCATTAATCCATAATAACAAAAAATAAAAATCTTTTACTTAGAAAAAGAAGAATGTATATTTTTTTTATTTCAATTGTGTACGCCTTTCCTCTAATAGGCGATTGGCTACAGAAAATAACCTTTCACTAGAAGCCGAATTTGCCAGGGCTGACAAAATTTTACTCTCTAATTTTCTCAAAAAAAGGAAATAAATTTTCCTGCTTCCAAAACTTCAAAATATTGCCATTGTTATTTGTTTTATTTTTTAAATTTTATTTTGATAATATTGATATTAGTATAATTTTAAATAAAATGATAAAACACTAAAATATTAAAACAACTATATAAAAATATGTAAAAATATAAAATTATTAAATAAAAATATATATTGGTCCTTAGCCTTTTTTTTAAAAAAACATTTGGATAATCTCAACTTAAAATTTGTTCGTTGTTATATATAATTTAGTTTTAACAATCTCTAAATGAGTTTGACCTTATTTGACTCAACCTAAAGATACATAGTATTTTTCCTTATTGATTTTTAAAAACGTCTAACTCAATATTACATCCAGAAAAATAAATCATTATAATTTTTTATATACTGAACCGTAACGGGTCACTGCTTAAATGTAATTGTTGCAATAATTCGGATTTTTTATAAATATATTTTGTAATATTTTTTTAAAACAAAAAAGTCAACCTCATCCCTTTTCATTCATTATATGCCTTAATTTTATACTATTTACTTTTAAATTCTCTTTTTAAATCCCTTATTTTGGCCTTTTAATTGTATGGTGCCAGCCGCAAAAAAAAGAGAAGAAAAAGTAATTATATTATTTTATTTTTTTTCATGGGGATTCGGAATATTTTTTTAATATTTAAAAAAAAAAATCCCGAATAAAACGTGGGGATTCAAGATCTTAAATCCCCACGTTGGGATTCCGAATCCCACATGATTATATCCCAATACGACATATATATTGAAATATAATAATAATAAATGAATGAAAAAAGTCTTATTTTGAGTCATATATTTATGTTCCCTGAACCTGGACCCTTTTTAAATTTTATTAATATACCCGAACCCGGACCTAGCCCTTTTTTTTGTCGAAGGGTTTACATCCCTGCTTCTATGTCTTTAAAAAAAGAAGTTAATACAGGTGTTAAATGTAAAACTATGATAAAGGAGATAGAAAATATCGAGGATTAAAGCAAAAAGAATGCGAAGGAGAGGGTTATGTTACAAGAAGAATGGAAGATTTTTGGATAGAAGAGATTATGTAGTTAAAGCGAATAATTGTGGTAGAATGACTGTCGTAAAATGAGATTTTTTGTGATGGTTGATGTTTTTGCAGACGCAACTCCCTTGCTAAAAATGTTAGTAGAGCAAGCACTGGATATGAATGAGTAAAAAGGATCGATTTGGTGATTTTTTGAGATTCAGCGAGTACATCAATGGATAGTTGGATGGAGCATTTGAATTAATGAAAGTGATATCTCAAACCATAAACTGGCCCAGTGGCGTAGCTAGGAATTTTTTATAGAGGGGGTCCATACATATAAACTGGAGGGCTTCGCCCCCCAGACCCCCTTTAACGGGCCTTCGGCCGGGTTTATCTTACAAATCATAACCATATCTTCGATAATATATAATAAATATATTTTTTAAATGCATCAATAATATGTTATTATAATTTAGTAGATTATTCTCAATGACTTTATAATAATACTATCCAGAATAATTTCAATAGTAATATAATATCCTTCCACAAACATCAAAACTAGAAAAATATAATTCATATAAAATCACTTTTAAGTCTTTTGAACGTATAATCTCAAAAGAAATTTTGCTCTGGGAGGGGTCCAAACCCGAAAACCACCCCCGTAGCTATGCCACTGAACTGGCCCCTCGATCAAGGAATTGAGGAATTCCGTCTGAATGTTCCCCATCGGTTCCAAAGATACAGGTTGATTCAGGTTTAAAGAAGATGCCCGTTGACTTAAGGGCATGCTTAATAAGGTTATTGCATTTAATATGCCGCGGGAAACGGTCTCATCAAAATCGGCAGTTACAACAATGCTGTCCTTAATATCAACATTGGCTCCATAGTGCCTGCACTGGCAAGGCACCAATTTTGCATTAAGCCTTAGTCCATTAGCGAAACTTAGCTTATCTGTGGAGAAGTAAATGAGGGTTAAAGGGTATGATTTCCATAAAATCTTAACTTGATGTTTGGTTCACGTGATAAAAAAATTGAGATAGTTGTAATGAACGCTTGATTTTATGCAGGCGAGGGTGCCTTCATTGTGTGGAGGATCCCAGTCTTTGTGTATGTAAGAGAAAGATCGTTGATTGTTTATGAAAAGGAATCCATAAATGAAGGTGCAGTTTTAGAAAGAGTTAAGAGTGATCGTAAACCAAAGAAGCGATACTTATAGCCATGAGTCATGATTAAACCAGAGATGGATCTCTTCAATTTGACAAAAATTTCGAATGATTAGCAAATTTGAAGATGGATGTGGATCCAAAGAATGTAAATAATTTTAGAAATATAGTTTAAAAAAATTAAGAAAAAAAAAGCTTGATGAAAAGGAGGTATTTGTAAAGTGAAGTAGGGAAGATAAGCATCAGAGAAGTTATTGATTATTTAAAATCATTAATTGATAATTAAGATTGATTAGGAAGGAGAGCTAGGTTTTAATTCTGTATTTTATTGTGATTTACATACCTATTAATATTACAAATATTTTTTAGAATTTATGCACAATTTTATGTTGCCTTTTATTAATATTTTACTATATGTCTTCGAAATGAATACTTTCTAAATGATTAGTTCTGATAAATTTTAAATGTTCCAAAAAAATGATTTTAATATTTATAATAGAAAAAATTATCACCCCCCCCCCACCCCTCTCCCCGAAGAAAATTTATGGCCAGGTGCCCATATATAACTAAATAACCTAATCACCAGTTTATAGATTTTCATGTATATTAATAATTTTAAAGCCTTTTGGGACTTTCTACCAACCTTTACGATAAAAGATACCATTTTATACATTTAAATGAAAAATTTAACAAATAAAACTCAAAGCAAAATAGGCTTTGTTGCACATAACCCTAATATTCAATGTCAATGCTATTTTTGAAATATTGGTCCAATTAACTCGTGGACAGTTCATCTTCAGATCTTAGATTGAATATTATGTTTTTTTCCCAGCACACTTTTATTACAAGAATTTGACTAATAAAAAAATAAAAAAATAATAAAATTATAATACAATAAAACATAAATTAACAAATAATTTTACACGACTTTTTTTCATTTATAATTTTTAAAAAAATCAACGTCGCTTGACATGGTTCATCTTCTTAAAACGTCTATTTTGTTTAATGGTCTTTTTGCGTACGTCCTCCTTTTCTTTGAAAGACCGAGCACGACGTTTTCCTCGCATTTTAGAGCGCACCATCATGAAGGGTTTTAATTTTCGTTTGCCACGATTTGTGGTTGCCCGTTTAGGCTGGCATGGGTCATCAGCGGCTGAAAGTTTGCTCATTCTCAGCGCCCGAATCCTATCAGCCTTTTTCATTTTGGGCAACTTGTAGATTCTTTCAATGTCACCAAGACTGGGTAAGACTTCAGAGTCGTCCGATTCATCGTCAGAATCATCGTCTGTTTTTGAAAGATTTTCGTTTGTTATATCATCTACTTTATCTGATCTATTGGCCTTTTGGTTAAAATTATCTATACTTTCCGTCATTCTGGCTTCTTCGTCAAGATGGTCCGATTTCGTCTCGTCATCATTATAATCGTCTGATTCGGAGGATACCACTTCTTTGGCCGAATCAACTAATTCTGATTCTTCAGAATCCCTATCCAATTCATTATATTCTTGCCTATTATAAAAGAAAATTCATTTGGATGAAATGAGGGAAAAATAAAACTTTTTTTAACCGAGGGTAAGGGGGGCAGAATAAATTTTTCCTTGCCCATAATCAAAGATTTAGAGACCCCGCCAGGGTAAATTAGTTTTAAAACTGGAATGTCCGAAGGAAAATAAACGAATAAAAATGTTGGGCCAATGGGGGAGGGGGGGGGCGAGGGTTGGAAAGTTATTTTGGAAAAACATTACCAAATGTACTCGCACTTGACAATCTTTAAAATTTCGGGTCAGGTCTGGGAAAATCAAGTCCGGGCATGGCCTGCAGGTCTATGGCTACATAATAAATATCCATCCATGGTCGCCTTATAAGTAAAAGATAATATTCATCATCCGTGAGTTAATAAATTTATCTACCTTTGCAAACATTAAAGTAATACATCTTGCAACAACAAATAAAAGCATAAGGAAAGAAATGTATAGTTAACAACCATAGATGAATCCAAAGCCAAATGATAGAACTATTTAGTGTTGTTAATTAGTCGAGTTCTTTCGACTATGACTAATAGTTGTGGTCATGGAAATCGACCAAAAACTTTAGCGACTAAATTACGAGTTCTTTCGACGACTAATAGTCGTAGTCATGGAAATCGACTAAAAACTTTAGCGATTAAATTAGTCTATTAGTCGACTAAGTTGATCTATTTACTCAGCATAATCGACTCATTTAGTCTTCATGCTTAATCGATTAATTTAGTAGATTAAATCAATTTTTTGAGCCTAACCGAACCTTCTTCCGACTACTTGAGATATCAGAGAAGATAAACCATAGAAAAGTCACAATATTCGTTATTTTTAATAATCTTTTTGGATCAAATGGGCAAAAATATTCATGTTAAATTAAAATTTAAATTAGGATGTATCATTGAAAAGTGACAATTGTCATAATCGTTATTTTTGAAGTTTTTTGAGTTATTTTAAAGTAAATAAATAAAAATATGTTTTGTAACCTTAAATTAAAATTTCAGTGAAGATGTACCATAGAAAAGTGATAATTGTCATAATCGTTATTTTTAATTTTTTTAAAACAAATAGGTAAAATATATATTGTAAAGATGTTAAATTTAAATGAGGATGTATAAGAAAAGTAAAAATTGTCATAAATCGTTATTTTTAACTTTTTTCGAGTTTTTTGCTGAAATGAGCTTGTTTCTACCCCATGCCCATCAGTTTAATTAAGCTGGCTAGCTAGATAATTTTAAAAAGAGCGAGCGAACCTGTTAAAAGATTTTAGGAATGGGCGGGCTAAAAAAATTTAACACATATATATATTATTTAAAATCTATTAGCTAAACATTAATAAATATGTGCTTCATATACAAATTTTTAATATCAAATTATCGGTAACTGTTGTGGATGTTAGCGTAGGATAAATTAATGAGATAACAAAACTTGTTGGATTTGATTTGAATGGAAGAATATAACATCGAAGTGGGTGAAAATATGAATTCCATTTTCCCAAAAGCAAAAAAAAATTAAATTTTAAAGGCAATGTTTGAAATAGGTATCATCTACGTCAAGATTAAATCACAACATAAGGGTTGATGAGATTGAAAGTGAGGAGAGCTCACTAATTACTTAACAAAACATTTAAATTTTAAAGTAAGGAGATTGATTAATAATTCTGCTACTTAATTTATTTTAAAATTTATAAACAATTTATTTAAATTTAGCATCATTACTTTTTTTAAAAAATATTAACGGTTTCACGATCTTCCTTTAATTATAGTATTATAACCAAAAGAATTTAAAATTCAAAGTTTCATCTACCAAAAATTTATCTTACCCCTATACCCTCTTTAAAAACTTTGTAGGCATTAAATAATTTTCCTAAAGTTGATAAATATTTTTTTATTTTTATTATCACCAAAAAAATTTTAAAATGCAGAATTTTATCTACCGAAAATTTTGTAGAAAAAACTGTTTTTAAAATATCTTAAATAAAAAAAATGATATATTAATTTTAAAAAATAACAAAAAAAATTATATCACCTTCCCACGAAAGTAGCAATAACCTCAGGGGAGGAATTGATTATTTATTTTCTAAAATAATAATTTTAATAAATATACAAAAGATATTACAAGAATGGCGCAGTCGATTAAAAATAGTGCACACAAATTGAGCCTTTCAAGAGCAAATAATGGATTTCAAATGACCTCGTGCAAATTGGTAAAATTACAGTTTGGCGTTAGCAACCATTTTAATAAGTTTGCTTTTTCATTATTTTATTATTATTCGCTGTGTAATATTATATAAAATGTAATATAAATATCTTACTTATATCCCAAAAAGGAATATTTAGAAATTAAAGAAATAAGAACGCAGACGATAATATAATTTTCAAAAGACAAATCCTTTTTTTAAGAACTTATGTAACGCTCAATTTGTGCGCACTATTACTCAAATTTTTTCATCCTACGCTTAATTTAATTGAATTTTTATCAATATAATCAAAAAAATGAGGAAAAATTAATAGATTATATTCAAAATCTTCGAAAATTGGCAACGACTTGTGAATTTGGGGAATATTTAAATACTGCATTAAGAGATAAATTTATATTCGGAATAAAAAATCCTAAAATTTTACAAAGATTATTATCTGAAGATATATAGACATAAATAAAGCTATTCAAATAGCTACTGCAGTAGAAACAGCTATAAAAAATACAAAATTAATACAATGATGAAACTAGAATCGATCAGTTAGAAGTGGAACATAATGATAATATAAATAAAATTAAAAAGTTAATAATGATAATGATAAACAATCCAAGTCATATAATAATTATAATACTAGCTACAAAAAACTAAATTCCTGTCATTCCTGCGGCGGAAACCATAGAAGGGAAAATTGTTTTTTTCAAGAATGCCACTTGTTATAAATGCAACAAATTGGGCACATTGCTCGAGTCTGTAGAAAAGAAATAGTGAATTTTATTAATAATAAAACAAACGAATATAATCCAGAATTTTGGGTTAATGTTAAAATAAACAACAGCGATGTCAGAATGGAATTAGATACTGGAGCTGGGGTAAGCATAATTAACGAAATATATTGGAAAAATAAACTTAATTGTCCTGGATTAACAAATTGCAGGCTAAACTTAAAAGCTATACAGGAACCAATATACCGCTATTAGGTTAGACTGTAATAAAAGTACAATATAAAGGACGAACATTAGAACTAACTCTCATAATTACAAAAGGATATACCAAAAATCTCATTGGAAGAAACTGGATAACTAAATTTCCCAAAATGACTGAAATACCTGAAAGGACCAAACAAATAAATAACATTAATATACAAAATGAATTTCCTCAATTATTTACCAAAGAATTGGGCTGCTTGGAAGATTTTAAGGCACAAATATACATGAAAAACGAGAAACCAATTTTCTGTAAATCACGTCCCGTACCATACGCATTAAAAGATAAAGTTGAAGAAGATTTAGACGGATTGCTAAAAAAAGGAGATTTTGAAAAATAAAAAATTGCGATTTCGATATTTCTATAAATTACTAAATAAGACACTATTGCGATTTCGATATTCCTATAATTACTAAAAAAGACATTACAAGAATGAAATAATTTTAAATTTATATTATAATTTATATTTAAACAAAAAATTTTTAATGTATAAATCTAATCTAACATTATTAATTTTATAAAATTATAGTTATTGAATTTATTTGATAATAAAAGGTAACAAAATATGCAGGCGCGTATGCAGCGCCCCCCCCCCTCCAAAGCCAAAAAATGCAGATGCCGGATTATATTTTATTGTTAATATTTATTCCTATCTCATATATATATTTAATTACATTTATTTATCACATTCATCTACTAAGTTATTTTATCAATTAATTTCGATTTCAAGTTTTCCCAAGCGTAATTTACCTATTATAATTTTAGTGGCGTATTATTTATCTAAATTTCTAATCAAATAATAAATATCTCTGAAACTCCTTGTCCAACAGGGAGAAAGAAATTGCAAGCTTGTCCAACGAGATTGAGTCTCCGCCATCAATAAGTAACAGCTTTTATAGAGTTAGAAGAGCCGATTATTAATGCTATTACTGAAATATCACAATGGCTTGAAAGAAATATTTCTTCAGAAGCAAGAAAATTATTGGATTCAATACCTATTCCAAATTTTTTTTCTCATTAGAATGTATTATTTAATTATACAACTATTTTATGTAATACTTTACAAAAACATGACATTGACTTGATTAAGAAGATGAGAATAGCGAAGAGCATTTTATTAGAACTCAAGGAAATTAGAGCTAATTTGATGAAGAATTTCATATTTTATATGCTATTGTTGAGTAAAAAGCAGAGCTATACATGTTTAATATTTGCCCCCCCCCTTGACTTGTAGCAAGCAAGAACATCGTCAAAATATTAATATAGGATCAGTAGAAGAGTATTATAAAACAAATGTCCCCTCTCTTAGATACATTTATAACCCAAATAAATGAATGGTTTTTAATTCATCATGCAGCACTTACCAATCTGCAGATATTACTTCCACAAAAGTCTTCCCAACCTTTTTCAGATGGCGAAAAAAAATAATATTTGTTAATTTTTATCATGAAGTTGTTAAAATATCCTATGATGCTTTATTAGCTGAATAACTATGATTAAAAGATTAACTATGGTTGAAACAGTCCCAAAAAATGCTATGGATGCTTTGCAGTATTTCAAGCACATTTTAGATTATATTCCCAATGTATTAAAATGGTTATATATATTAGCAACTCTTCCCATTAGTAAACTAATGAGAAAACATTCTCTTTTTTAAGAAGAATAACAGAGCCCTGCAGAGGTACCATTTGCAGGGCACGGCCCAGATTTTTTTTAAAAAATTTTTTCGGCCCGGGTTTTTTTTTAAATTTTTACGCCAGGCCCGGCTTTTTTGAAAATAAAATTTTCAAGCTCGACCCATTTTTTAAAAATAAATTATATTTATTTTTGATTTTTATAGCTAATAATGGCGATTTCAAATATTTGGTTTTAAAATATACAGCTCGACCCGGATATTTTTTTTAAAAAAATTGTCAGGTCCAGCCCGGGTGTTTTTTTAAAAAATTCGGGCCCGGCCCGGGTATGTTTAAAAAATTAAAATACGGACCGGCTCGGGGGCCGGGCCTGCAAGTCTCTGAAAAACATACCTATGAAATACAACTTCTTAGATTGAATGATTTGGATCTTTTGAATATTCATAGGCATTTAAGGTCAAGCAAGGATAGATAATTGAAAAATTAGCTCAAAACATACAAAATACAATTATTCCTAAGAAACTTTTTGCGTGTTAATTTATATTTCCAACATTTAAATTTTTAATACTTTATATATTTTAAAAGCTAACTTTTTGGGTGTTAATTTATATTTCCAACATTTAAATTTTTAATACTTTATATATTTTAAAAGCTAAAAAAATTTCAATTTCAATTTTGGGTCATTTAAGTGATTCATATCGTAATTATATTCACTTTATATTTTATAATTCACATTTATTTTATAGTTTTTCAATGCCGGTTTATATAATACAATTTTTTTGTAATTCACATTAATTTAAAATTGTGTGTTAGAAAAGTTATTAGTCCTAATAAATTTATAGTTAGTATTTTTAATTAACAATAATATTTCTTAAAAAATTTTATTATCCCCCACCAGACCAAATTCCTGCTTACGCGCCTGAAAATATGAATACCAAAACATAGTATAAATAAGAATAAATATATGAAAATTACAGAATATACTATTTTTTCACAATGTAGTTTTTTTACAAATATTAGATTATAAATAATTGAACATAATAATTGAAAAAGTATTCCTTTTTTGTAAATTTAAGGTATGGTTTGTTGGTTATTACATGGTCATCATATTATAGTTTTAGTTATTCCAAAATTTTCACTTGGAATCAAATACCAGATTGAGAACAAAAAAAATGGATTAGACAAGTTGCAATCTTTATATTCTGGGGTTTTACTAGAAAGTAATTCAGATAGGTGATCGATCTCACTTTTACCTAGTTTTGATTTTGAGCCTCACAATATAAATATTGTAAAAGACTTTTTTATAAAGTTTTTTTAAGTTTTGAAAGTGGTTTAATTTATTTTAAACTTTTATTTTCCTGATAAAAAGTTTTAAAAGAATCGAATTGTTAATTATGAAATATTTATTATATCAATTTCTTTAAATGAAAAGTTTGCACCCTTCTGTTGTGATTTAATCTTGACGTAGATGGATGCTAAGTATTTCAAACATTGCATTAAAAATTTAATAATTGAATTTTCTTTATTTTTGGAAAAACGGGTAAAATCATATTTTTATCCTGTCGATGTTATATTCTTCAATGCAAATCAAATCTAACAAGTTTTTTAATTGCATTAGCTTTCCCCACCGATAACATCCACAACCGTTATAGGTACTTAGGTATCAAAAATGTTAATATTTTATGAAGCATATATTTTTATGTTTACCTAATAAATTTCAAATGACAAATAAAAGTTATAATTTTTTAACCAGGCCACTCAGACTATTAAATATAGTTTAGCTAGTCCGCGTAATTAAATGGACCGGCGTAGGCTAAAAACTAGCTCGTTTCGAAATAATTGAAAAAAGCTTAAAAACAATTATTATGACAATTGTCACTTTTCTATGGTACATCTTCACTGAAATTTTATTAGCATGTTTACAATATATATTTTTACCTATCTGCTTTATAAAAGTTCTAAAAAGTTCAGAAACAACGATTATGACAATTGTCACTTTTCTATGGTACATCTTCACTGAAATTTTAATTTAACATGTTTACAATATATATTTTTACCTATTTGTAGTGTTGTTAAACTATCTAAAGTCAACTATAAAACAGCGTAGCCATGTTTTTTACCAAAAATATCCCAATCAATCTTCAAGTTTAGACTCAACTTAGAGGCTTAATTCAATTTTTTAGGCTAAAAGCTTGACTATGCCACAATTAAGATGGTCAATGTTAGGTAATTTAACAACTCTACCTATTTGCTTTAAAAAAATTCAAAAAAGTTAAAAAATAACAATTATGATAATTGTCACTTTTCTCTGGTACTTCTTCACTGAAATGTTGTTTTAACATCTTTAAAATATTTATTATTACCTAGTTATTTTAAAAAAAATTCAAAAAAGTTAAAAAATAACAATTATGATAATTGTCATTTTTCTATGGTACATCTTCACTGAAATTTTATTTTAATATCTTTACACTATATATTTTTACCTATTTACTTTAAAAAAATTCAAAAAAGTTCAAAAATAACGATTATGACAAATGTTATTTTTCTATGATGGTGTAGATCTTCACTGAAATTTTATTTTTACATCTTTACAATATATATTTTTACCTAAAAAATTCAAAAAAGTTCAAAAATAACGATTATGACAAATTGTCACTTTTCTATGGTACATCTTCACTGAAATTTTAATTTAGCATGTACAATTTATTATTTTACCGTCGCTTCAAAATATTCAAATGATTACAAGTAACGATGATAGATAAATGCCAGTCACTATACATTGATTCATCTTCTATGATATCTCAAGTAGTCGGAAAAACTAGACTAATTAGCCACACTAACCCCGATTATGCAGGTTCGGTTTGGCTCAAAAATTTGATTAGTCGACTAATTTAGTTGCTAAAATTTTTAGTCGAATTTTTCGACTAAAACTATTAGTTAGTCGTCTGTTAGTCGGCTAAATTTAGTCGATTAACAACACTAGAACTATTAAATCAAAATTGAATTTTGTTAGATGTATAATATAAGAACTTCTTATGTAGAGATTGAGTCTTTTGACGTTTACTGCTATTTTTAGTCATTTTTTCGTAATCATCATCAGCATTTAATCTACGCTTCCTGTAATTTTTAATCAAACGCAATTCATCTTGTGTTAATAATCGTGATGCGGAAATTTCTTCTAATTGACTTATAGAATTTATTTTATCAATCGCATCGATATTCGTAGAGAAATTAGTGTCGATTGTGGTGTTTTTAACCTGTATATGTAGATGTTATTATTTAAATATAAGAACAAAAGGCTAAAGTTATTAGTCATACATAATAGACAGATAATCAATGTATTAATGGGACTTAAGCTTCATTTATAGGAATCACTTGTAGGGCTCATTGGCAATGATAGCGTAGTTGTATTTTTATATTTATTTGTATTTAAAATGTGCAATGCCATGCTGTGCTATTTTCACGGTTAATAAAAATGAGGCCTAATTGAAATTTATGTCGTTATTTTGAATAAGTTTAATATCATGAAAATAAGCATATAGGATTTTATAATTATATACCTTTTATTGTTTTAAAAATATCGGATATTTTTAAAAAATTCTGCCAATATATATTTTATTATTTTTATACATATTTTTTATTTATTTTTGAACTAATTTCTCTTTCTCGTAATAAATCTTCATAGCTCTCATAAAAAAGCGTGAAGGAAAGAGCCATTAATAATATAAAAACGCTTAATAGTGCACACAAATTGAGTGTTTACGTTTTGTTGTAATTTTTAATAAAAAATACGTAACGCATTCCTTGTTTAAATTGAGGTTGCCATTTTATTAATATCGTTGATTCAAAATTTTTAATAAGTTCTAAAAAAATGGATTTGTCATTGAAAATTATATTATCGTCTACTTTCTTATTTTTTTTTAATTTAAATATTTCTTTTTAGGATATAAGTGTTATTTATCATACATTTTATATAATATTACAAGGCGAAGAATAAAAAAAGTAATGAAAAAGCAAACCTAATTGCGTTTTTTAAAATGGTTGCTAACGCCAAACGGTAATTTTACAATTTGCACGAGGCTATTTGAAATGCATTAATTGCGCTTGCAACGCAGCGTTTGAAACGCTCAATTTGTGCGCACTATAATGCATTTTCTTTTTACATTTTGTGACGAAGAAGATGTAAAGTATATTAATCGGAGACATGAGTGGTGCATGGCTCGAATTTGCTAAAAAAATTGGCCCGGCCCGGGTTTTACAATTTATCTTATATAAAAATTTGCGGTCAGTGTGAGTCAATTTTTTTCGACCTTGGCTTAAAAAAAATTAAAATATATATTCAGCATTTCGCGGATCGTTTTTTAGCGAATATGCCATATATAACAACTTTTTAAATTATCTTTCTCCCCATTTGTCGTAAAAGGAGTGAGTTTGGATCACCACACTTTTAATTCAACTGGTCGATAGTAATTCTTTATTTACTGTTCCTATTGTAATTTAATAGTCTTTTATATAAGTATCAATCATTTTGCGCTCTCTCACTGGCAACATTTGTAATTGCCTGAATTTGAGACATAGAAAAAGAAAAAAATGATACTTATATTAAAAAAAAATTTCCCTTAAAATGTGTATTATCTTATAAATATTGAGTGTATCTTTGTTGCTTTTAATTTTATTAAATATCACCTAAAATAATGATTAGTTAATAATTAATTTGAATAATATTTTACTAGAATCTAGGGAAAAATGGAAATTGGATGTGATAAATGTGATATATTGTTAGCAGGGATTCGAACCGAACCCGAAGAAGAAACCCCGGGTTTTGGGGAAAAATTCCTGAACCCGAGCCGAACCCCGTTTATAAAATTTCTAAAACCCCGAACCAAACTGATTTTTTTGAATGCGGGTTCAGAATTTTATATTTAAAATCATATATTAAGAAATTTGTATAATTATAAATACAAATATTAATAATTGAAATGAGATTTTTTAATATTTTCAACTTATTTAAATATAAACGGTATAAATCCTTAAATATTATAGATATTACTTAGTGATAAAAATAATTTGCAAAAGGCATCATGTTAATATATAGTCCATTTTATGATGATAATAATTCGAATGAAGTTATTATAAAAGATGATTTAGAGAGATTGATATAACTTAAAGAAAGGCATGAGAAAATATTTGAAAAAGGGATAACGATTGCAGAGAATAGTATTGGAATGATAATTATTGGATTTTGCGATTTTAAAAGTTTAGATAAGAAGGAAAATACTTTGGATTTTTGGAATTCTGCTAAGCTGGAACACTTGATTTAAATATTTTATACAAAATCTTATTTGCTGCTCCTGCAACCCAAGTTAATTTATCATATTTCCAAATAAATATATTTAATATAGGTTAGCACTGAAAGATCCTTTTCACATTTGATATTCAGCCTTTCACTTAGATCGAGGTTGAGCGAACAACTCTTGGAAGATATTATGCTAATATGTTTAAATAAATATATCTAGCCTCTAAATAAAATAAAAATTTTATTATTTATAACAAATTTATGTCTAGTTTTATAATTATGATTTAAATATAGAATTTTTTTACAATTCAATTATTCCTAAACCCGAAACCAAACCCGGGTTCAAAAATATTCCCCTGAACCAAACCCACTTAATTTTTTTACCTTGAACCGAACCCAATTAATATTTTATCTGGTTCACATCTCTGATTTAAAACATTAGGACTGGTCCTATATTCAAAAAAAATTTAGGCTTAGTCCGGGAACCAAAAAAAAATAAAACCTGTCCCAGGTATAATTTAAAAAAAGGCCTGGCCCATGTACCTGGCGTTCAGGTCTATGATATTAATAAACAAATATAAAAAAGTATATTTGTCTATTGTTTTTATTATGAGAGAACTTATAAAAAATATAAATCATGTAAATTTAAATTATTAGCTTTGGTATAATTGATTAAAGTCCAGCTCAAGGAAATTAATTTTAATCACATGACCTGTCAGATTTGATAAGTTATTAATAAAAACCCCATTTTTAATATCTTAATCCTAGCCCATATCTCACAAACCTTTAATTATCCCCAACCCTAACCTTTAATCCTACATACTTATTTAACTATAAATATATTTCATCCAATTAAAAAATTTCCTTGAATAGAGTTATTATCGGCATGACTTTATTGTAATTAATAATATATTCTTTTAAAATCTTTTAATTATTTCTATTATGTCAGAAATCTAGAATTTAAATTTATTCTTATCTTTATAAAGAAAAATATCCAATATTATAATTTTAATAATTAGTTTATATTTCATTATTATATTATTAATTGATATTTAATTTGTTTTACTTTGTATTCAAATAAAGTTACATGGTTTGTTATGAAAAATAATATCAATATATATATATAGTGTGCTAGCAGGATTTAAATTTATACTTATTTGTACTACGGAAAATTCTGTTCATCATTAAAAAAATAAATAATAATATGTAACTATATTTATTCAGTAAGGGCTATATCTTAATAAAATAAGACATTATTCACTATCAAAGATCTGCAGTCCCGGCCCTGTTCTAAGCCTGGCTAAGGTCTAAAAAAAAATTTTTTAAATGTCGTGCCGAATATTTTAAATTGCCATTATCTATAAAAAATTAAAAATTTATATAATATAATTTTAAAAAATCCGGACAGGGCCTGAAAATATAAAACCAGAGCCGAAATTTTTTTTCAAAATCCGGGCTGAACCGTGCAAATGGTACCTCTGCAGGTCTCTACTATATATTTATAAATACAACTCTTTATCTATAAATTTTAAGATAAAATATTTAGAATTTTAAAGCCTTGAGACCTTTTTTGATTTTTAAGGGCCAGGATAAGTGAATATTCTGATTATAACGCCTTAAATTTATACACCGATTTTTTTATTCTATTATCTTATATTATATAAAATAATGACAAAAAATAAATGTAAATATCGGATCTGATAAGTAAAAAATTGTGGAATGGTGCAGTCCTAAAAATATTTAATATAAAGCAAAAGTTTAGGATAGATAGTTTCATAAATATATTTTAATAAAAAGATTCAACATTAAATTCTATATATACTTTATTGTAATCAAAATAACGAACAGCTGACTCTAACTAGTAACGTTTCATATTTTATGTTAATCTAACGATTGTCAATCTAATGCTATACTTATAATATTTTCTGTCATAGGAATGTGTATTTTTAAAAATTAATGTCACAATTCACAACATCACTTATTTATATTAACTCTATGAAGCATGTTAAATATTAAAGTACTTGTTCTTTCGTCAGCCCTTGGTCTTTATCTAAATTGTGATTCCCTTTCGAGGATAATTCCAGACATTCGATACCTTCGATATAGGACTTCAAGCAAATTTTATAAATTATATATTTAATTGTTTTGAATTTCGAAAATTTTATACAATAAGGTGATTTATCCGAATTCCTAAAAAAAAATTCCTAGTTATGAGCAATTCTGGTTTTAATTGCTTATATATTTAAATTGATAGCAATAAATATAACTTACTATCACATCACTGTGACCATAAGGTTTGGGTTTAATATTTTTCCAATCCTTGGCCACCTTTCCCCTGTCTTTCCTGAGAAGCATAGATGGATCTTTTTGGCGAAACAAGTTTATCAATGATCTCGAAGCCATAACCACATTTTTATTTCTTATATTAAAAAAAAAATTGTTAAATTAACACAAAGAATCCGCGTTAGTTTAATTTAGAAGAGGAAAGAGGTATTTATATAATATAATATAGATTAATAAAGTATCCACAAAAATGAATAAAATTATGATGATTCTATTTAAATCTTAATATTTAGGGGATCTTTTCTTTTAAAAAAGGGGGGAAAAGGTATGTTAAAAGGATTCCAAATGATTGTCTGTTAGACTTCTTATTTTTAAATATAAATAACAGAGTCCTGCAGGCCCGGCCCTAAGCCCGGGACAGGCCATATTTAAATTTTTGGGCCGGGCCTGAAAATTTTTTTAAAAAAATACCCGCGCCGGGCTGGACCTGAAAAATTTTTTTTTAAAATACCCGCCGTAAAATTTTTTTAAAAAATTTATATAACATGATTATATTTGTCAATTAGATATGGTTATAATGATTATATATAGTTATGATTAATATAATGTTGGAAGAAAGTTAACATAACACTATATTATCTATTACATAATATAATTATAGTTTTCCTGCTATGGAATAAATACGCAAAGGACAATAGGTAATAAATACATTATTATATAATATATAATATATGTTATATTTTTTAATTAAAATATCAGTTTTATTTTTTTTATAAATACAATTAATATAGTATATACTCAAAATATTATTTACACAAATTTTTTATAGTATCAATTTGTAATATAATAAATATCTGTTTAGAATAAAAAAAAATAAAATATGTAATTAATCCAGAAAAATATTACGCAAGCCTGAAAATTTTGTTCATAGAAGGAGCAAAGGTCTAGACATATAATCGAAATTTCGAAGCTAAGTCAATATTTTTCTAGCGAAAATATTGAGTTCGCCGTTTTGAAAAATCGGCTCAAAACGAGCCGTTTAAGAACATTAGCTAATATGCTTGCTTATTTAGGTGAATTTTTTGTATATACCAGGTAAAATATGATTTTAAAAAATTCCGAACCGCCTAAAAAAAAATTTTTTTAAAAAAATCCAGGCCGAGCCCAAAAATTTTTTTTTAATATCCGGGCCGGGCCTAAAATTTTTAAACTCGGGCCGGGCCGTGCAAATGGTACCTCTGCAGGTCTCTAATAAATAATAATAATCAACACTAATATTGAATACTGGTTCGGAAGCATACAATATTATATTTGATTAGCACATATGGACTGGCCACAATCGATGCAAATGGAGGGTACAACTGCATTACAACCAAGGTAAATAGCTAAGGTTATGTGAGTAGTTGTTCACTAATCATAAAGAAGCCGAGATAGGAACTGGAGATGGCTTCCAACTGTTCATAGCCAGAGTTTGCATTTAATATTATGTTATTGGGGTTCCAATAAGGCGCCTGTTCAAAATGGAAATCAACAGAAGAAGCATCGAAGGAGCATCCCAGTCTTTTTGAATTATGGAGGTTGGGCAGTAGGTGGTGGGTAAGCTGTTGCTATCCCAAAAGATAAGAATCTAGATAGGTCAATAGAAGTGGATTGTTAATTATAACTTGAACGGCTAGAGAGGATGAAATAAAGGCTGAAGGAGAAAGTTCTAGCGAAGATGAATACCGATGCCACCTGATTTAAAGCCTGGATGAGTATGGAAATTTTATGTTCAATATATTTTCGAGGACACTCTAGATTTGGATTTCATGATAAACTAGCAAATTGCTGCATTTGTAGATCGGTGTCGATCTCAGGGCATAGAGGATTTTGAGAATATTAAAAGTTTTTAATTAAAAAAGGATTGCAATGCAGGAAGGTAATTAAATAATAAGCTTAATTTAAACAAATTGCTAAGGAATTTTTTAAATGTTTAAATGGTTTTTTCTCTGTCGTTGGGTGCTCCGAGATGTGTCTCATCCCTGTTGATGACTTGGTAAGTGGTGTCTGATGGAATGGACGTAGGATAGGAAACATATCTCACACTTAAGGTGATTGAGTGAAAGACCTGTAATATGTGGGTTTCCCAATTATAAGTGGGATATGGTAAGGTTGCCAGCAACGATGTCATCATCGATATACCAGGAATTTAAAGTGATGTTGGAGTTAGATTGAATTTCCTGAATTATTTTGTGGATACCAATGCAAAAGAAGGTAGGGCCTAAGGGTGCTCTTTATTGAATTCCCTCTGGAGATATGATTATCTTATTATTGTATTTTAAAAAAGTTGAGTTTGATTTGTTGTAATAAATGTATGATGTGTATTCTGGATATTTTTACAGAATAAAGGAACAAAGTGTTGTCGTTTATATATTGAATCAAGTTTTAAAACTATGCTATCTGGAATGTTATTTGTAATCGTTTTACGAAAGTGATGAGCGGAAGTTTCTGCGCCTCCAGCAATTTCAAATCCTAATTGGAGTGGCAAGAATGAGGAAAGAGATTCTTTGATACGAAGCAATGATTTTTGAAACAGTTCTTAGAAAGAAAGACCCTAGCTTGGATGAATCCCTCCGTCCTTTTTTAAGCTATTAAACAATCCCCGAGAATAGAAATGATGGGTGCCAGAAGAGGTCTATTGAGGATTCTATTTAATAACCGGGTAAAGTTTGGTAAAAGTGCTTTGCTTGGAATGTTGGATTGGATCAAATATATTAATCTTTGAACAAAAAGGCAAAATAAGGGTTGGAAATTTAGAACAAAAATGGAAATTTTTTTTTATCGAAATTGAAACGAAAAAGTCAAAAAATTATATATTATCAAACTTTAACTTTTCAAATAAATAAAATTCAGTGATCAAGTATATAATAACAAAGTGTCGGGTTACCAAATGACTGAATGATAAAATGACATCGTGATAAAATATCATATAGATTTTTTAAATAATATAATATACCGTATATATTGCATTGAAAATAAATTGGTCAAGTGTCATTTATATTTTTGCTAAAAAAAAATTATAACTTTTTATGTTAAAAAAAAGAATGTATATAGTTAAGTCTAAAAAAAATGTAAATAGTAAATAGTTATGTTTTGAAAAATGCTACTAATCACTAATTATTTTTGAAAAAATGTAAATATGTACGTTAAAAAATTATAATTGGTAACTATAGTTGGGTAATAATTATTATATTTTTAGCCGTATACATTTTTTAGCCAAAAACTATCACTCTAGTCTCAGGGTTCTTCTTAAAAATTTAGCAGCTAAAATTTGAAAGAAAATAATATAAATTAAAACGTCTTAATGTTAACAGAATTTCTCCGACATGCGCCTGTAGATTGGGCCAAATTCGCCAACATTTAGCCATTACCCAACTATACTGGTAACTAGTTACTTAAAATTTGCTAAATAATATAATATATCTCATTCATTATCTTTACATGATAATTTCCCAAATTTAAAATTATAGTTTATTAAATATAATGTCTTTAAAGTGCAATTATTTCAATATTTAAATAGTCATTTAGATTCCTTTGATTAAAATTTGTAAATCGCAAAAATATTTGTATTATTTTGTATTCAAAGTAAGAACTAGTTACCTTTGAGACATAATTGCTTTTTTGGAAAAAGTAATTTTCATCAACAAAAGAAGCTAACTATAAACATAATGAGATAGAAATAGTTAACAAAATTAGAACAATAGTAAGAAGTTAACTATAATATAAACGTATTTATTTAACATTAGGTAGGATATGTTAGTCAGACTTTAAAATTTATTAACAATTAAAGTTAACTATATGCGTGTTAATTATAACAAGATTATACTCTATATATCATAAATATTCGCTGAAATTAGATAGGATATATAAAACATGGAGAATAAAAAAAATTTGATCAACATAATAATTTATAGTTAATAAAACTTATAGGATTTATAGAGCTCAAGATCATTCAGAAGATCTTTTTCCATGACCAAGGGGTTACGGTTGCACAATTCCCTAATACTGTTAAGACCGACGGTTATAACTTCCCCACTATTTTTCTCAGTTATAAAATTATTCGCGATTTTGATTATAAGCGGTTTTAGAATCTAAATTTAAATATATAAAACATTCGAGGTTAAAAAAATAAATAGATATTAGTTCAAACTTCGGCTGGAAGGAAATCGTGAACGGATTGAACGAGATACAGCAAAAGACGAGTGACATTGGATTGATGTGGTTGTATGTAGCGTTCCATGTAGACATAGAAATTCAAAATTTGCAACTGTAATTAGAAGAATAGTTTGGAAATCATTATTTTTTACTTTTTAAAAATGTGGGGGGTGGGGGGGGGGGAGGCGGATTATGGAAAGGGATGTAAAAAAAAATTGCAAGTGATAACATTACTTTATGCAACCCGATGATTCGAGACACTAAATCAATGGTTGCCATTCTATGATCAAAGCCTTCGTTTCTTTGTTGCAATTGTCGGAACAATTTTTCTGCGAATTCTAGATTGAAAGTTCATTTTTTAAAAGTTATAATATACTTGTGATTGATTGTAGTTTATAAAGCTAAAAAAAATTCAAATGAACATCTCTAAGGCAAATATTTCTTTATATTGGATGATGACTACAGAAGTGAGATATTATATAGACAGGGAAAATTCGGATTAAGGCTGTTAAAACTCTTACCAATAATAAGTGTATTTATTGATTGATTTCTGGCGAGACATCAAAAATATTTTTTAAATAAAATGTATTTAAAAAACAATCTTGTAAAAGCAGCTATCAAAATATTTTTAAGTAGCAATCGTAAATGAGTAGCTAATTAACAGCACCGTTATTTTTTCGAGTAGCTATAGATAAAAAATAGCTAAAAATAGCTACTTTTAAAAAAATAGTTGCTAATTTTTAAAAAATTTAATAAATTTATTAAAATGATGAATTTACTAATTTATATTTATAATTTGAATAAAATTCGTTTTTGTAGGTAATTTATTTTTCATGTTGAATTTATCGATTATATAATATATCGTTGCCCGAGAATTAGATTATTCCATCTCAATTTTTTATAATTTTACAAAACGAGAAATCGTGTTCTCGAATTATTAATGATATTTCCTAATAAAAATATTATTGATTATAATAAATTTTTTGAGATCATCCATAACAGATTTCGCAATATAAAGAGTTCTCTCTTTTAAACCCACTCTTGATAAAATATAATACCCCTATCCAATCCAGTTTTACTGTTGAGAGATTATTTAATTTAGAAAAGGATGTTTTTGGTAAAAAAAAAAGTTTTTATTAGAGGAACTTTGAGAGACATCTTATCTTTAAAAGCAGGTTTGTGTATTTGACGGGCCAAATATAGTCAAATTCAAATAAATGTTTTTTAAGACAATATTAACTTAATTTTATAAATGAATCTATAATATTTTTTAAATTCATTGTCATTCAATAACTAATGTTTCGCTCTCAATGCCAGTTTTATTTTGATTCATATTCAATATTAAAATTTTCTTTAATATTTATTAATCCGTTTTCCTGTTGTCGAGATCTTCAATCGATTTTTGTTTTAGTAAGAATATTCCAAATCGATGAAACGGGAAATTGTTAGTGAATGCTACTTCTCCTAATGGGCATGGTGGGCAAAACCCTATCCAATAATTTGAGGACGGAATCTGATTCTTCGTATATTTTCTATTAAACATGTCGCTTTTACTTCTGAAATTTATGTCACTTGAAATATTTTGATTTAGAGATCTGCAAAGGGCCTAATTTTATTTAAAATAATTGGGTTTGGGCCGGGGCTAATATTTTTTAAAAAAAATCGGGCTGGGTTCGAACCTTAGAATTTTAATAAAAATATTTGATTTTATTTATTGAAACTAAACGACATATAACATATGTCTTTTATTTTAAGTAATTTAAAAAATTAATTTCTATATTTAAATAAATTCGGGCTGGGCTGGCAAATTTTGGGTTCGGGCCTTACCGGCAAAACATTTTTAAAAAATTTTCGAGTTCGGACCGGCAAAACATTTTTAAAAAAAATTCGGATTCAAGCCGGACCGGCGAAACATTTTTTAAAGAAAATTTCGGGCCGGGCTTGAAAAATTAGGCCCAGATCACTATTTTCATTATCACCACCCTGTAAATGCCTAATTTCAGAGTTATATCACTAACTTCATTAAAACTAGTAAGATGGTCCCTTGATATTGCGGACCCATTAAATAAACAGCATTGTGATCACATGTATTTATATCTTTTTTAAACATTATTTTAATATTTTTTTCTTTCATTATTTTAGAGCATTTGACCGTGTTTGATCAAATCAAATATTCCTCCTGTCACCAACCCTGTTTAAAAGTAAACTAATTAAAATTATATATAACTAGTGCTGTAAACATTTCTAAAAAAATCGAACGCGTGCGCGTTCAACGTTCATTGACAAAAATCGAACGCGTTCACGTTCATAAAACCGTTCAAAATTTTATGATAAATTTTTTTTAAATTTAATTTAATATTATAACTTATATTTTTTAATACAATATATTTTAGCCATGTTAAAAAATAATATAGTTTTATTTTGATAATATAATTATAAATAAAATATAATATAATATAATATAGCGAATAAAAAGATATTATTTATAAAAAAAATTTCTTATTAAATTTTAATAAGAATTGTTTTCAAAATATTTATCTGATAGACAGGAACACTTGGCAGTTAATACGGCATTAGCTATACTAAAAACGCGCTCTACAGGGGCAGATGAGGGGATTGCGGTATTATACTTAATAAACAGCTCTTTTAACGTGGAGAATTAATTAAAAACATATTGTTTTGTTATTTGCAAAAATTTGAGATAAGTTATCCTGCTCCAATCCATTCTCTATTCTACAAAAAAAAGGATATCTCGAAATTAACAGTTCTCTATGGTTTTCATAGCATTTTTTTCAATGACGCTATATGTTTATTTTTAATAGGTTCGTTCTGTGGAAGTTTTATCCATGGCCATTGAAGTTTGAATGCTGGATGTATAATTGCAGAAAGAACATATTGATCCTTATATATATGTTCAAATCTTTAAAAAAATAAAATATATGTAACTAATTGAGAGTAATAGGTTTAATACCTTTTATTAATCCCATTTAATACGGCATCTATCAATGGTTGACTATATTTGAGGCCACTAATTTTTTTAATTTTAAAATAACTATCGTTACTGTTAGGGTCAAATATCCCAAATGCATTATTTCTTGAAATTTAATGATTTAACTAAATTTTTAAATAAAACCTCATAAGATAGGAAAATATCATATAAAATCAAGTAATTAATATTAAAATCAAATGTCGTTTTAAATTGGAACCTGAAGATTTTGACAATATAATACTTTTTGGCCACATTTTACACTTGGTAAGCATTGGATTAGTTCCTTCAATATAGGATGTTAATGTAAAACATTTATCATATTTGGCCATAGTAATGATAATTCATCTGATTTTGGATTTTCAGAATCAGATGAGGAGGATTAAATAAAATATCCATGCTTATGCTAATCTATTATAAAATATAAACAATAATATTCAAATTAATAAACTATGTGTTAAAAAAATTGAAATGTGAAAAGGAAATACACAGCCGATTAAAAAATATAAATAATACATTTTTTAAAAAAATTCGGAAAAATTAAATTTTTCAAATAAATAAAAATATTTTAAAGAACGTTAAATTCGAACGCGTTCGTCATAAAAAAGGAACGCCCTCACGTTCAAAGTTCATCAAAAATAAAAGGAACGCCGTTCATCAAAAATAAAAGGAACGCCGTTCATCAAAAATAAAAGGAACGCCGTTCATCAAAAATAAAAGGAACGCCGTTCATCATTATTTTCAAAAAAACGAACTTCGTTCATTGAACGCGTTCGTTTACAACACTATATATAACTAATATTTTATTATAAAAATATATTTTTATATTACGAATTTGAATAAAAATTTCATTTATGATAAAAAAAATATTTAATTGGGGTTGCAATGTTATTAATTGTCCTTATTTGAGGGATAGGGGGGAAGGGGGGGGGGGGGGGGGGGTGTAGACATATTTTTTAAAGTAGCTACTAAAATAGTTATGTTAAATTTAAAATGAAATATCTATAGTGCGCTATATTTTTAAGAAAGTAGCTAATAGGAAAGCTACTTTTTGGGGGAAATAGTTGTAGCTATAGAAATAGCGTAAAGAGTATTGATAATAAACACCCACTTATCAATTCGTGCTATATCAACATGCCAATCATGTTTATATGTGGGGAGGTAGTCACTTAATTTAAATTAAGATAATAATAATAGAAACTAGGCCTCCATATAAATAATACCTTGAGAATCGTGCAACAAATTTATGAGGGTGAGAGTGTTGACATTTGTTTTTTCTATGCTATTCTCATTTTCTAATCTTTTATTATGTTTGATTGACTTTTTCATTTTCCGAATTCGGCTTTTGGTCTTCTTGACAATTTTGCTGTTTTGAATCAACTGTTTAGTATCGATTACCGGCTAATGAAATAGAAAACATATAAAAATAACGAATGCTATATTTAATATTATATAGTAATTTTCCTAATATTAACTTTTAATAATTTATAAAGTTTAATAATCAGAATAGAGAATTTGCAAGAGACAAATTATTTCGAACTAGAGGTGGGTGCGGGCCAAATTTTTCATTCACGGCCTACCCGCTCACGGTGGCAAATAAAAAAAATTAACGCCCATTCACGCTTACCACTAAAAAAAATTCGACCCGACCCGCCGGCTCACGAAAAGCAATATTTTGATTCATGCCGTTTTTTAACTATTACTATAATTTTACACTTTTTGAATACATTCTATTTATTTCTCTAATTTCATAATCCATATTAATAACAAAAAATTAATACAATCTATAAATCGAAATTTATTTAGAAAAAGAAGAATGTTCATCTTTTTCTATTTCAATTGTGTACGCTTTCCTCTAATAAGAGTTTGGCTACAGAAAATAACCTTTCACTAGAAGCCGAACTTGCAGCTGACAAAATTTTACTCGATAATTTTCTCAAAAAAGGAAATGAATATTCCTACTTCCAAAACTTCAAAATATTGTCTTGTTATTTATCTTATATCTTTTAAGTTCATCCTCACAGATTTCATCGGTGATGTTGATGCTTCGTCAGAATCATCTAGAAATTCTCTAACATTTAGAATATACGGTCTTTTATGAGTATAGGATGAATTAGGACAGTTATAAATGATACCATTTAGAATATACGGTTTTTTATGAGTTTAGGATAAGTAGGAAAGTTATGATAGTTGGCATCGACTTATGCATATCATCTAATTTTATATCATTTAGCATTTTTAAGATTGTTTTATATATATCATCCTTTTCTTCTTTTCCTAAAAACTTAAGTGTTTTGAAATTCGGATCTAGAATTATGCCTACCTTATGTAGTGGTTGCATAATAATCTTTTAAAAGAAATCTTGTTCTGTATTTTAAGGTTTTGATTATTATTGTATCACGTTCAGAAGGTTAACAAAATTTTACTAATTTTTGTTTCCATAGACAAACCTCATTTATTGTGGGACGAGAATCTGTTCTCAGATTATACGAGCATTCTTTGAATAATGATAAAATTTATCTAACTCGCGTATGATGCTGATATCAATTGTGGCTAATCTATTTAATTCTTACTTACTAAACAAGTACACCTGTATTTCAGAATATGATTTTAAGAAACTCTGTATCATGATATATACAGAGTTCCATCTCGTTATGACATCTTGTATAAGGGTGTGGCTTAGTTTGCTATTAGCTGTAGATTGTTTGAAATATTGTACTATTTTTTTTACACCATTTATATTTAAGGCTATTTCAGTTAAACAATTGTCAAAAATATAATGCATAATATTATTTATGGCATATACATGCTAGCGTTTCGTTATCTTTGAATGCACTTATAAGATTTGCTCCGTTATCACTCACAATTATACATTTATTTAAGTAATTTTCTACTTCTGTATATTCTCCTAAAATTGAATTGACTACAATTTTAATATTGACGTTTTTTTTCATCCATTGCCCTTGTGGCCAAAACAAATGTTTTTAATTTAAAATCTTAATGAATTTGTCCTGTAATGGTTAAAAACTTAGATTTTTATAGTCATCCGTCCAAATATCCGTGATTATGGACAAGTAATTGATCATGCTTTTAATCTTAAATTTTATTTCATGGTATATTTTTGGACCTATAGTATTCATGAGAGTTTTCCTGTTCACAACTTTTATATTTTATTATCCATATGTAACACCAACATTTATCTCTTAAACTAGCTTGTAAAATCCTTCACTTTCTGTTGCATTTAAAGATTGAAGATCTTTACAAATAAAATATAACTGACTTTTCTGTAAAAAGTTTAAGCAACATTTAGCATAAAGTCTAGCGATAAAAAACATCTAAACATAAAAAGAAAAAGATACCGGATGTTGTTTATAAAATGCGGAAGATTTTTAGTTTTCATAAATTATTCTTTTTTAAAAAAGAACTAATTAAATAAGAAAATATATAATATAAATATAAAATTGCAAATTTATATTTATAAAAAAACATTTTAAAAATTAAAATTTCCGTGATTCACGGGAAATTTATGTTCACGCCCGATCACGCCCGGGGAAAATTTTGAGAAGGCCCGTCACGCCTTGGAATTTAAAATTTAATCACACTCACGTAATTTCACGGCCCGCACCCACCTCTATTTTGAACCAACCTGAACCGTAGAAAGAAACAATTTTGTATATCAAGTTAGGTAATGCAAAATATCCATAATTGCAGTGATATCTATATTGGTATTATTCTTAGCTCCGGAGAGCAAAGTAAAGATATTTTTGGTACTGACTTGAATATAAAAATAATTCCATATTCATCACCTAACCTGACCCCATAATCAAGATATAAAAAATTTTTATTTATTTTAGTAGTATTTTTAAAGCCAATTTTTAGCAGTAAACTATCATTTGGCCTAGAAGTTCTTCTTAAAAATTTAGCAGTTCAAATTTGAAAGAAAATAATGTAAATTAAAACGCCTTAATTTTAACGGATTTTCTCCGGCATATGCCTGTAGATTGGGCCGAATTAGCCGACATTTAGCCATTACCTAACTATAGTTATAAGAAATAATCTAAAATGAACAAAATCGTAAAATATTTATAGTCAAACCATGATTTATTGATAACACTGAATAAATTCAAAATCCTTTCCAAATCAAAACCATCAAAATTTCCCAATCCGATTTAACCCTAGGCCAGATGAATGTTTTTCGGAATTCAATTTATTTGTAAAAAAACCTATATACTAACCTTTTGATTCTGATCGTCGGCTTCCTGGTAAAATTCCGGATTGAGAAAAAAATTAATAGCCATTGACATTATCTTTTAGTATTTTTATTTTAAAAGGTATTCATTTTAATTAAATCAAAATGTCATCTTGTTTTTTGCGTGGATTCAAGATCAAATTGTATCCGGTCTATATTCTTTTAATTCTATAAATTGTTGATTTATATTTTATAAAAAAAATGATAGGACTTAAAACTGTTCATTAAAATGAAAATTAATTTGATTAACTGTTAACAAAGTTCTCCGTATCAATATATAAAAAATATTAATTAAGGATAGGAGCACAGTGAAAAAAATTGTTGTATAAATTCCATGAGGTTAAGGATTTTCAAATAATCTCTAAAAAATGTTTTTATAAACTATAGCTCAAATATGATGTAAGTAAGCAATGTTTCGTTACAAAAATAAATTCAATAATATATCAAATTATGACTATCGATAAAAGTGCGAAAAATATTAGTATATGAAGCAAGCTAACTCGACTCGAGCTCGAAAAACAAGCGTGAGCCAGAAAATTAACAGTTTTGGCGTCTCTCCAAATGCCCTTGGCATACAAGCGGGTCATAATGCGCAAGGCAAGGCCGGCTAATCCGCTGGCTTCATCGTCGTTCGGGGGAGGTCCATTATGAGGGTATGAATGCGACGAAGAGGTGGCAAAGCGGTGCAACAGATTTTGCAAAGCTGAGTTGAGGTTATTATCCCGGCGTTTAAGGTTGCGCGACACCGTGTCAGAAATGAGAAATTCTCCAGCGATTTTTCGAAGCATTTTGTCGCGTGTATCACCAATTAACTCGACCGCATTTCCGCCTACGTATCCCCTATGCGGCAAAAGGTGATCAAAAAGGAGACGAGATAAATCGAGGAGTTCCACCAGTTCAGTGCGTCTCAGAGTTATGAGAACCTTTAGAAATACCTTTTATTAAAGTAGATAGATGTGATTGATAGATAATATAGCAAACTAAAAATTATCATTTAAAAAATTCAACGAATAAATTTAGGGATGTACCGATATTTTATATCGGATCGGGCCGATATTTCGCTCATTTTAAAATATCGGTTATCGGCAAATATTATAAAATTTTCCGATCCGATATAAAATGGCGCTTTTAACAAAATTTAAAAAAAGTTATATCTAAAAAACCATTTATTTTTATAAATAAAATCGAAATACATTTTTATGTTTAATTTTTTTAATAGAAATAATTAGTTAATAAACATTCTGCAATATAGTTATTTTTTTCGCATTCTGTAAGTGTTCATTAATCTCTTCAGTATCTGTTTTTAGTGATGCTAGTGATATTAACAGTCCCCATCACCGCCGACATATCTCTGATATGAAAAGAAATCTTCGATATATTAATTTTAAATATTAATTTCAAATTTTATAATATATTTTTTTATTACTAATTATGTAAATAGATTAATGTTATTACTTATTATATAAATAATAGCAATTGAATTGAATATAAACTATAACTGACCATTATAATATATTTAAATGACATATGTTATCGTATAGTAAAATTATAGATGTTGTACTAATAAAAAGTATATTAAAAATTAAAACCGGTATCTTTGCAGAATACAAAATTAGATATGATATCGAATCGGTTATCGGCTGATATCAATTTAATATCTGAAATATCGGATCGGATCGGCCTCCAAAAAGTGGTATCGGTACACCCCTAAATAAATTATAAATTTTTTTAAAAATTTGCTTGAAATGGGTCTATTTTCTAATCAAGCAATAATTTAGGTAAAATGTTATATCATCAAAAAAACTATATTAATTTATTCTGAGAAGAAAAAAATTGCAATAAGACGCGTTCGGTAGAGCCCTGAATTTTCTTATCAATTTATAAGTCCAGCCCGAAATTTAAGCTCAATCCAAAATTTTTATTTTTAATTATGTTGTTAAAAAGCCAAATTTTGATCGATTTTTAAAAATGGCCCGATTAAGATTTTAGAAATATCATGCAAACCTTTCTGCCAACTATGAGCAAAATCTCCAAGCTCACATAACATTTATCTTGCTTTTTAACAACTCTAACTTTTAGGCCCGATTTATTTATTCTAATTCCAAATAAATATAATTATCATTTAAATTTAAGCCCAAGTATACGACTGTATTTTTTTTAAAAATTTTGGCATTGCGGGAAATCAGTGACAAAAACTGTGGGTTCTTGAGAAAAAAGAGCAGATGGGGATGGGATAAACTATTCTCAACACTCCAGGTGACCATTAGCGAAAGGCTTAATTGTTAGATTGTTTAAATTAATGAAAAAATGATAAAAAGTAGAATTTTCATAATCGAGTAAACAATCGCTTTTACCATCCGGCGCTAAGAAAATTTCGTAAATCTACATTCATTTTTATTCACTTCCTTTAAGCCAAAAATTGATTTTTTTCAAAATCTTTCAAAGATTTAAAAATTTTAACGAAAACGAATGTTTATTCTTTTGGAATCTTCTAAGAACATGTTTTGTACATGCTTTTATTTTTCGATTAAAAAATAAGGATTATTTATTTATTTTCATTAGTCTTCGAAATTTGTGAAAATTTTTTTTCAAGCTTTGGGCATATCCTAAAAAATTACTCACATATTACAAATATTACAACAAATTTTTCACCGATCTGATATTTAAATTGATTTCAATTTACCATCAATCTTTGAACTAATGTCATAAAAGATCAGTATATATTCTATGCAAAATAAAAAAAAACTATAAACTATGAACAACACCTAGTTGCAAATAATATTATAAAAAATAATATCACATTTTTTAGCTCTATTTTCTATTAGAATAATACGATTTTTTTAGATATAGAAAAATTGGTTTTTGATTTGTTATAAAATAATCATAAAATAAATCGCATCGGCCTGGCCGGCCTGATTTAAAAAACGGTAAATATTGGCTCCGATCTGATCCGGTATTTAAAATCAGCGAAGCCCCAATTTTTATATTATTGATTAGTAGTTAAATGCTATTAAAAAGATTTTTTCTTAATACTTCACTTTTACTTTGAATTTTAATTGAAACCTCTCTCTATAACTTATCATATTCAATAGCTTTGTCTAATTAATTTGACACGTTTCAATTGTTTAATCGTTCTAGACTGTAATACCTGTGATAAAAAGTGCAATTTATTTTAATATACCAATCATCGGAGTTTTTAAAATTTTCAGCAATGACCTTCTAGCAAATAATTTACAATAACAAGCATGTAAATTTTAAAATTAAAAATACTTAAACAACCAACTTAATCAAGCTACAACAAGTCGAAGCTGGTTACATTAGTGGATAAAAGGTTATCGATGGGTTAAAATCGATTACTTATTTAAATTCAAATTGAATATCCATGCCCCCTTTATGGGAGAAAAATAATGTTTTGAAGAAACTGACAAAGTTAAACAAATGCGCTGAGATTGAACATGTGCGCAAATCGACAGCAGCCGCTTATTTTTTCATCGACGGGCCGAATAGCGGCAAATTTTTATTTTAATAAATTAAGTTAATTTTAAATTTAATGCATTTTTATAAAATTTATCTGGTCACTCTTACACTATTACCAGAGTTCCTGACTTTTTGCCCAATATAAATTTAAGTTATTTCTCATTCTCCCAAAAGAGAATGTAGTGGAATTTGTATCAAAATATTCAGGAATAGTCTTAAAATTACGAAATCTTGCTTCGCTAATAATTAGTATTCAAAATATTATTTAAAAAAATTTATTAATAAAAATATTAAATAATAAAACTTGAAGTTCGGTAAATGGAAATGTTTTATTTATCAAATTTTCTTAGGGAAATTATATCAGAGATATGAGATAAAATAATTTGTAAATCGGTTTCCATTTAGCTAGTGTTGTTAAGACTCGATTAAGATTTTAGTCAAATAATATTATGTAACCTCGAGATTTGGCAAATAGTTGTTCAAATCTTTGTGTCATCTATGAGTAAAATCTTCAGGCTTGAGAAATACTTTTCTAAATAGAATACTGAGTTGGTCGTTTTTAAAAATCGGCTCAAATGGAGCGATTTTACATCACTGCTTTCGATACTGTGCCAACGGGTAGGGCAATTAAATTATAAGGTTTTAATATGAATCGAATTGTCACTGTATTGCAATTTATAACATCACCGAATAAGAATTGTTAAAAAAGTGTTCACCCACGTGGTATAGATCAATTAGAGTATCAATATCTAAAATTTGCCCTAATTTTTGATCATTCAACAAACAAATAAAAAATATTTGCAAAATACTTCTTGAAAAAATTATAAAATATATCTATTTTATTTCAAAATTTAAGCCTGGCCAAATTTTTTCATAACCTGGCACGTTTAGAATTTAGTATTTTTCCGGCTCAGTTTGACCAAATTTGTATCCTTCCAGGCTCGTTTTTTTTTAATTCAGTAATATATCCTATGGAAAAATAACCAATCATAAGGATTTCAGTTTCTTGATTATCTTATTTATAGTAATAAACACAAAATGTAGGAAAAGGAAAAAGAAATCGTATTTATGAATGAATGATCATAGTAGTAGGTCATTTAATCATTAACAAAATTATAAGCAAAATAAAATTTATTATTTTAGCAAAATTAGGCCTTCGAATAATTTTTTTTCTATTCTCTACTAAAGCATGGCAGGCATTTCTAATTTTTTCAAGCCTTACGGTTAATTATTTTGCCTGGTCCAAATAATATAAATTGATAAGTTATCTGGCCCACGCCGACCTATGAGCTGATCGGGCATTGCAGATCACTATCAGGAAGAATTAAAACCCGGCGTGATTATGCGAGGAGGGGCTTCAAATAATATACATGAGTTTTTATTGACGGGTTGTAGACCAATGTGCAAGATGAATGAAAGAAATTAACTTACAATATGATTAATTTTTTGTACTTTAAGAGCTGCCTAACTAAAATACTAAATTTATAAATAAAATTTTAGTTTCATAAAAAAAATTATGATATGATTTAATAGAAAAAAATAATACAGATATAAAACGATTAATATAAAATGGTTGTTATAAAAATAGATAACCATAGAGTAAAAATATAAGAGACTTAATGGGAAAAATCATATATAGATATCAGAGATGTGCATGCCTGGCAAGGCTAGGCAGTATCGTGGATATTTGTATCTTTTTTAAATTTTGGAAAGTATCTTTATCCAGTATCTAAGATACATATTATTTAAAAGTAATTGTATCTTAACCAACTTTGTATTCAAAAAGATACAGATACTTTTAAAAAAATTTATATTATATAATATAAATAGTATTAAAATTTAAAATGATATAGTTTTAAAATTTAAATGAAAAATTTAATCAGAAATTTAGATATTTTAAGATAATGTATGATATATGACGTTGGTCGTCATATAGCAATTTGCTAACAATTAGAACTTCCATATATTATTTGAATCGTTTTATATCCGTCTATTTTAAAATAATGGAAGAAGAAAATAGAATAATATGTTTATTTTCGTCTTCAGATGATTTTCCAACCAAAAAATATTACTATAAATTTAAATTAAGTATTTTAAATGGGAAATTTTTTCAAGTACTTCAACATGATCATAATAAAATTACTGCAGAATGTAAAGAATGCCACAAATCTATAAGTGGTTCAACAGACTCGTCCTCAAATTTTGTCAAGCATCTAAAAGTATAATATATAATTATATATAAATCACATTTAAAATCATATTAATTATCATTTCATATTCCATATATCTGTTGCTAAATTTAGAAGTATTTTAAAATTTGATTGATAATGAAATTAAAATGATATATAAAGGTCATCTATGAAAAGAATAAGAAAACTAATATTTATAAAAAAAGAGGATGTTAATTTGAACACTAGGCCAAAATATAATCTAAATATTTGGGGCACCATTTTTATAT